AAGCAGTGGAAATGATACAAAATTAGAAATTACCTGGAATGGAAGGGAACTATAACATTTGGTGGAAAAAATTAACTTCAACCCACTCACACCTGTCCAGATTTTGTAAGGATGGTCATGACAATCCAGTTCTCATTCTGGAATTTTTCACAAAAAGAATGAGCCTTACTCTTTCTGGGTGGGAAGGAAGAGATGCTAATTATAAGAGGAGAGAAGGAGAACAGTATCACTTTGCATATAATTTATAAATGAAAATGTGGGGAGAACATATCTTGGCTGTATATCTGCCTATTTCCCCCTTGCTACTTGTGTTAGTGCTCTACTCCCACTGCTGCAGCCTTTACAATGTAGTTCAGTACCTCTGTTGGTCCGTCAGTCGATTGGTCAGTCAGTCGCAAGATTGGAAACCAATGCCAAGCCTTTAATAATATGAATATATGGGAGGTTGTTAATAATACTGATCCACATACTGTACTAAGGGATGTGGTGGCGCTGCGGGCTAAACCGCAGAAGCCTGTGCTGCAGGGTCAGAAGACCAAGCAGTCGTAAGATCGAATCCACGCAACGGAGTAAGCACCCGTCGCTTGTCCCAGCTCCCGCCAACCTAGCAGTTCGAAAGCATGCAAATGCAAGTAGATAAATAGGGACCACCTCGGTGAGAAGGTAAACAGCGTTCCGTGTCTAAGTCGCACTGGCCATGTGACCACGGAAGATTGTCTTCAGACAAACGCTGGCTCTATGGCTTGGAAACGGGGATGAGCACCGCCCTGTAGAGGCGAACACGACTGGACAAAAATTGTCAAGGGGAACCTTTACCTTTTACATACTGTACTACAAAACATACTTAAGGATTAGTGTAATAAGGAAATGAGTCATAATGGTCAAACCAGTGGGGGTAATTGCCTTTATTTTCTAGGCAGGAGATGGGGAACACCAGTGCTTATTTCACTATGATGGCAATGTAACCTGAGTATGGAATGGTAATTCTAATCTCGATGTAGCACATTATTTGAAGGTTAAGGATTGATTTTCTTTGTTTAAAGAGCAATATAAAACACTTTTATCTTTTGCTGTTTGCCACCAGAGGTTTTTCTAATGTGATTCTGTGCTGCAGTGACTTTACGTTCCTGCAGATTCATAGCCTTCTAAACCCTGTGATGTCAGGTCATAAGTATGATCCAAAATGAAGCCCTTAAGCTGCTTAATTATTAGCTTCTGCTCTTGTATAAATTGATTTTGCTTTAGATTGTTTTAAAACTTCCTCAGGAAGTTTAACACTGTGGGCTGCTACTAAATCTAATGCTGCCTAGTATCTTAGATGATGATCTATCTAACTTAATTTATTTAGTGCTGCTTAACAGAGTTCTGTTACCCATTGTTAAGTTCTCTGGGGCTTTGCTTCTACTATGAACTGAAGAGTATATCCATTCACTGAAGAGGGTTGTTTGTTGGCAGAACATTTTTACTACATCATGTCACAAGGTCATCTCTCTCTAAGAAACGCAACAGCAGCTTCTGAACCTTTATGCAGGTAATTAAGCCAAACTACAGGTAGATTACTCAAGTGGTGGAAGCACTTCTCTGTAAACCAGTGGCACAAACCAATTCTGGGGACTCTAAACGATTATCAGTCATGGTCTGGTTGATTGGAAGAGGAAGAGGAGGAGAATATAGCTTACACAGCTTGCTTCCATTGGTTAGCGTGTGAGTCAGTTATTGGCAATATGTGTCCCAGGAGACATATACCATTTCTGGGTTGGTGGTCCTTCACATTATCTCTGGACTGTCACTGTTGCTTAGATCCCTGCAATTCTGCTGGAAAACATGATACCCAGGGAGAATACCTCTGGTACCCTCATAGACTTCAACTTTGATTGCTTGTGGGTTACATCATCAGCGATATGAGTGTGTGGGTTTGACGATGCTGCTGCCTGCTGCTGTGAAAGTATGTGTGAATGAACATTCCTTAGGACACCAGAATTTCCACACATTTTGAAGCTGCCGAGGAAAAATGTATTTTTCTTCATTACAAAAGGAGTAGATGAGGTGACAAAATGGAAATATATGCAGAACTTATTTCTTATCAATATTTATACTTTATTTAGTCTTGGTACCAGCCAATGAATAATGTATATCTTAAAATGATGCTATTTAGTATCCAGTATGGCATTTAAGAGGATAAATGTTTCAGTTTTATTTTAATTGAATAAAACAGGAAGTGATTCCTTCCCATCCTAAAAAATACCCCCAGGACATGATTTTCCTCTGCTTAATTACTCTTATTTTTTGGGGGAAGGTATTTTCAAATGTTGAAGCCAAGTGTACATAAAAAAGCAGGCTTGAGGAGAGTTGGAGCTACATCCATTACTATCAGTAACTAATCATAGCAGAATACATGAATGCATTTTTGCTGTTGCTTTTATTTACCTTTTTTAGTGTGGAATTTGTTTTATCATTTTAGTGTAATATACTTACTGTTTTTAGCTTTAAATATTGTGTTTTAAGGATGTAAGCTTCCTTGGGTCATTTTAAAGGAGAAATGCAGTGTAAAAATATTTTAAATAAAATAAATAATGAGTGGCACGTGGCCTAAAAGAGAAATATATTAACCATTAAAGCCCAGATTGGTCTATCATCTTCTCCAGCTCAAGCCACTGAGGCATTCCAGATTATTAGCTATAAAAGAAATGTGTATCTACCATTTCAGGCAGAATTCAATATTCTTAGGTGGTTTTAGTAAAAAGTTTTAAAAGTACTCCAGCCTCCAGTTAAAAAGCAGTAGCTGAAAAAGAAAAGCTGACTACTAATATTCAGAAATTAAAATTGGCCATTTTGAGAGAAGGCAGCAAGCAAACAGAGCAAGAGAAAATCAGTGAATAAATGCCCACTCGTATGTCTGCTTCTCGAGCACTTGTAGTCCACGGACCATCTGAACTGTGCTGGTGGTAGGCTCCCTGCTTTTCTCTTACCTGTCCTGGCAGGAGTTTATCTGTGTCAATTGTTCACTTTTACCTTAACTCTTCCAAATTTCTTCCAAACTTTCTCAGTGACATTCAAGAGTCATAAATTTTATTATTCCCAAAGTTCATCACTGGTATACTGGTTAAAAAAAAGAGGCCACTTCACCCATTACCAAAAATCTGCCATCCAACTTTTAAGAAATTGTGATCATGAAAACAAAGTGTAACAGCTTTTCAGAAATTTCAGTGTCGAATCCCATGGCACTTGCTAAGAATACAACAACAAGATGAACTGGAATAAATTCAGAAAAACCAACTAGGTCTGGACCTTGAATGTATGGTGGCTAGTAGAATAATCATCTGCCATCAAGTCAGTTCTGACACATGTGACCCCTTTCAGGGTTTTCCAGGTAGAGAGTACTCTGGAGTGGTTTGCCATTCCCTTCTTCTGGGGGCCTCCTGAAAGTGGGCAGCTTGCCACACAGCCTGGTTCTAGCCTCAGGAGGCCCAGTGGGGAATCAAACTATGAACCTCGAGTTGTGCTGCCAGATACCTAAACCACTGAGCTATCAAAATATCCTGCAAGACATTGTACAAAATGTCTAAAAGAATATAACATTGATCATGTGAGAATATAGGGACATGGTGGCGCTGCGGGCTAAACCGCAGAAGCCTGTGCTGCAGGGTCAGAAGACCAAGCAGTCGTAAGATCGAATCCACGCGACGGAGTGAGCGCCCGTCGCTTGTCCCAGCTCCCGCCAACCTAGCGGTTCGAAAGCATCCAAATGCAAGTAGATAAATAGGGACCACCTCGGTGGGAAGGTAACAGCGTTCTGTGTCTAAGTCGCACTGGCCATGTGACCACGGAAGATTGTCTTCAGACAAAACGCTGGCTCTATGGCTTGGTAACGGGGATGAGCACCGCCCCCTAGAGTCAAACACGACTGGACAAAAATTGTCAAGGGGAACCTTTACCTTTACCTTTACCATGTGAGAATAATAAAAGAAATTGCAAGATATGAAATTAAATATAAATAAATATGAAACATTTAAATATGAAATTAAATCCAAATAAATATGGCTGTTTATGTTCTATATTATGTCACAGTCAGGCAATTAGAGGATGGCACTTGTTTAGTATTTTTAATTGGGGCTTTCCTGCGCAAGGTAATGCAGGTACTACCTTGTCTCTATTTCAGATTATGGGGCAAAGAGTGAAGATGGGAACAGAGTGAGGTGAGCCTTTGGAGGACCCCACCTTCTCATCCATGTTCAGTACTCAGCAATCATAAAAGCAACCATCTTGGAACTGATGCCTGATGACTGAGAGAGCTTCTAGGCATTGTAATCTAAAAGAGTAACTTATCCAAACTCTGGGTCTTGCTTAGTACCAAGACCGCACTTTAGCCTTCACAACAATTAGCCAAGAAATTAAAGCTGAGCAAAAGGCCTGAAATAAGGGCAAGCAGAAAACTAATAGCCACCTGTGCTTGTTGCTTTATGCCATTATCCTTGTTCTTTCTGAAATAGTTTACAAAATTTCCAGTACAATTTTCTTTTCACTAATAAACAAGATATAAGAATCAAACAAAAATCTTGACTTTCTAATTGGTATTTGTTCCCCTTTATCTTGCCTGAAATCTTTTATCATTGTGTCTGAATTTATAGCTTTATAATTGCTCTTTTTTGTTAGCAGCTCATTTAAACATACTTGTAAAACCATAACTCTGAATGCATGCACATATATGCTCAGGGGCCTGCATCTTTCCCTCATGAGACAAAGTAGCTTTTGATTATTTAAGGTTAACCCCTGAGCCACATACCCTAGTGCCATTCAACTCAGATCCTCACAGCTGCTAGTCATTTTAAAGAACATAACAGTGGTGACCCTGACCACAGACTTTTCACACCACATTGAGTTTTGCCCTCTTGTATGTGTTCCATAAAACATCACGTAGCAACAGAACATCCTTTAGCCGCCCTAAAAGACTGCATGAGATATTAATATAAACCTGAAGTTTGTGATTTTTTGCTTCACAGTATCAGAACCAGTTATTTCAACAAACAGAAGATGTAGATGGAAAAACAGAAATCATCATTAAGGTAAGCCACAGATCAGATCAGCAAATTTATCAGCAGTTATTCCGACACTTTTGTTCCCCTTTGCTGTATTGAAGCAATGTGTTCTTTCTCTGCACTTGGAATGTGATGTTTGAATGCTTCCAGGTTCAGTTCGTTATTGGTGTGCATTGATGAAATACTCCATGGGTGTTCCTGCGAGGTAATTTCTATATTTGTGGTACCCTTTCAGATGTTCTTGTTATGCCGCCCAAGCCGTTTGCATTGCCAGATCATAACCACGGTCTAGTGTTGTGAATGTACTGCAAGTAAACCTGGGTTAGTTAGTGCTCTTTGCCTAATGGGCATTGCATCCTAACTGCACATGCAATTTTTTAATGTTACAGCTGTTTTGCCAGAACATATTTTTCTTGCATTTTGGAAACAGTGTTGATTATCACTTCCTGGTAGTGATGCAGTATGTGCTGAAGAATAAAGGTCTTGTGACAATAGTAGTCATATGGAGGGAAGATGAGTGTGTTTAGGGAGTGTTGTTTAGTATTCACTGTGTTCACATCCTGTTTTCCAACCTTCTGCAAGTATCAGAGAGAAAGCTTTGCTCTTCCTCTTTGTTCCCTATAAACAAGGGGATTTTAATTTACAGTTTCCAAAATGGGCAATGGTGCGAAGCAACATTTTCTCTAAACCTCGCAGGCCTGTATCTGTTGGGTGCGTGCAGCTGAGCCAGTGTTTCCACCCATTTGTTTCCAGTCGCAGACAGAATTCTGAGTCCACAAGGTGGAGCCGCCACCTCTGGTAAATCTGAGGGAATGTTGGTGTGAAGGGCATCTTGCTTCGAATTTATTGACATTTCTGAGGTCTGCATTGGCCAAATGTGTACATTTGAAAAGCTGTGTGTGACCAAAAAACAAAACAAAATGAAGACTTTTTTTTAACTGTACACCCACACACTTCAGTCGCAGGAGAAAATGTGTACAAAACTATTTGCTTATATTTGAATGTGGGTAGACCCTTCCAACAAACTTGCATGTTGAAAATGGAGGGCAGATATTGCAACCAGATATGGAATAGGGACAGATTAAGAATACTGGAGGGGTTCTTAGAAACTGAATGAAAATGAGACTGAAATGTTTTCAAATATGTATGTATCTATGTTTCTTTGGCGAGAGAGATGGATGGATACATAGTAGTATCTCCTGTTCTAATCAGACACTGAGTGCCATCAAACTATTGTTTGCACTCTTTGGATGCTGCTGGTGGTCAAGGTTCCCTCTAAGGCAGGGGTCCCCAACCCCCAGTCTGCGGACTGGTCCTGGTCCGTAGCCTTGCCAGGACCGGGCTGCAGAGACAAATCTGCTGCCCTGCATGTCCAGATGCATGCACACCCCTCCCATGCATGCACAGCTCCTCCCATGTCCCTTCCCATGCACACACACACAGCCCATCCCACGGACACACGGATGCACCCCCCTAACACCCCCCCCACTAAACCGGTCTGTGGAGGCAGAAAGGTTGGGGACCATTGCTCTAAGGTGCATCGAGGCATGCGACAGCACAGCTTTCCTCCTCCTCCATGCACCCACAGCCAGTGTTTCCAACCCCTTTGGTTCTGCTCATGAGAGAACCCTGTGCAGGGGTATGTGTGGAGTCGTGCATGAGAGGGATGGAGCTCTCATTAGAATATTAGAATATTAGAGGGAACATTGCTGGTGGTCATGGCAGGTTGAGAACTGTGGGTATAGGACTTTCGCTGCTTGGATCAAGAGAAGATTCCAGCTGCTTCATCCAGTGTAGATCTCATCCATACTCACTGCACAACTGGACAAGACAGCAGAATCTTCTTGACTTGGGGGGGAAGGCAATTGCTGCTGTCACAGACTATATTTGGTTTGGCAGTTGGAGAATATCTCTTCCAATACCAGAAAAACATGCATATTTCTCTTCAGTTGGCCCTATGAGCATGACATGGATGAAAAAGTCCTATGTGAGTGGAATCGGGGGAGATTATCCCATTCCCTCTTTGTGGTGGCCTTGATCCAGGTTGGGATGGCTGCATTTGCATTTTTAAGAAGCACCACAGGGAGATCCAGTTATAGGTCTCACATTTCTGTGTCTGTGTTAGTCTTCCATTACAATTACAGACATTGGTCATATGAAAAGGATGATGGGAGTTCTGTGCCTCTAATAGTTGTGCGAAAGATGAAACAGCACCTGCTGACACACATTTTTTTTTGCACAATTGTTATAGATGCAGGAACCCTGTGTTCTTTTTCATGCCACCCTTCCAAGTATGACAATCCCAGGTGCCTTTCTCAATATATTATGCATTGTACCAGTTGTAATGTTGGGTTATCAAAGGATTGCGTGCATGAGCAGTTCCTGCCTGAACACTGTTACCTCCATTAAAAGGAGGGATGTAATTCTGTGGAATTACAGTACAGTATTGCACTTTGTGATATAATTGAGAGGAGATAATTCTGTAGCACTTGTTATATTTTGAGATTTGCAGGTAATTTACAGGCAGATAGTGCAAACAGATTAGGTGTTACTCAGAGTATGGATCAGTTGGGCCCAAAAGAAGCAGCTCCATTTGTACTGAATATGGTTTATATTCTAATCCTTTTGCAGCATAGCAATTTATTCACAGCCAATAACACCTTCCTGTACCAGCCTTACACAATTGTACTCATTGCTAATCACACCTAGGTAACTGTATAAGCAGCAAACAGATTAGGCTGTGATGCATCCTTCTGTCATTTTTCTTTATTTTTCCTCAAGTTGGGAATGAACTATCCAAACATGAGCTTTTATCACTTCAGTGACAGCTCTCCAAAATACCTCCCCCCACTCCAATTCTATTAAAAGTGTTGCCTGAATGTGAAGAATTGGAGCTTCTATTCATATGAACAAAAAAACACAGCTATGTTGAGCTGGAGGTGGGGGCATGACAATTATTGAGTACCAATGATTTTCTCTACCTCTCTCTGCTCTCTCCAGTCACCCCCACAAACACCCCTCATTCTTCTTTGGGAATAAGAAATCAAGATCCTGATGTAGAGACGTCAGCAATAAACAGTCATACAGTATTTCAGCAGCTTGTTATTCTGGAAGGATCTTTCCCTAGTTTCAGTATTGAAAGACAAGCTGGAAGGATATGTAACCCCCTCCACATGTTGCTGAACTGCAACTCCCATCAATCCTACCCAGAAGTCAAAGATGACAGATTATGGAGTCTAGGAAGTATCTAGAAGGCTGCATATTCTCCATCCCCATTGTATACTCTCAGCTTCACCAGGATGAACAACTGTGATTAGCTGTTTATATCCGCAGTTAAGCACTATATATTTTGTCACAGATAATTGTCAAGTTACAGTTAAGAGGCACATTGGGGCTTATTTTCTAATATTATCTTCTTAGAATTAAATGAAAACTGGGAAAATGACCTTCTTGCTTGTTATTATTTTCTGTCTTTGGTATAAACAGTGAAGCCTTCAAAATTTTCTCCAAACACCATACTGTAGTTAGAAGCATCATGAAAGCAAGAATTTCCGGGAATCTAATGAACTTGTGATTTGTCATGTTCTAGTCCATTGGTTTTAAGCTGCAGTCCCAAACAGATTGATTAAATTATAAGCACAATTCAACAAAATGTGATGGGGATGGCATTCAAGATACTTTTTGCTTCATATTATGCAATAGTGTCCCTCACCCCAATAATATATATAATAACATCCAAAGCCATCTAGGCTACTTTGGCATGTGGGGTAGAATATCTTGAAAGCATCCCTGCCCCATCAATATAAATACAATAAATAAATAACTATCAATCATCATTGACAATAATTGAAGCACTAACAACAATTAAATAACTGCCTTTCCATAATACCAAAAATCTGATACCTAGCTGGCCTGTTGGTAAGGGCTGGACCTACAGTAGGACTGGCGCCTGACTATGTTAATTGGATGGTACAGTTGAGCTGTGTTTGGAGTGAGAATCTGGCCATTAAACAGATCATGTTTGCTTTGTAACAAATGTTGTTTTGAATCATGGGTGTTGCCAAAAAAATCTGTGAGGTAACCCTTTTCCTGTGTACAGCGACTAAGAAAGGAATGTGCCTCTCAATTAAACTTCCAAATCTCTTTGGCCACATCAAGGCTTCCTCAGCTATAAAGTCAGAGCTATGTCCTCCATGTTTACTGCTATAACCTTGAATGCCTCTTTGTTCTTTAGAAAGGCTAGAGGGAAGAAGTCAGTTTAATCCTTCAGAGTGCTCTGTTTGCTTCATAGAAGACTCGATTATTTTTTTCCCAACAAGGACTCTGCAAACAGGTCTATAGTGATGGTGTATCATCTCTCTTTGTTATTATCCCCTTTACATTTGCTAAGGCTTTGTAAAAAAAGAAATAAAGAAATAAATAAAGCAATAAAAACAAACAGAAAACCAACAAAAAAAGCTTTCCTCTGCTCCTCACTGACTTAGCCTCTTTGTCTGCATACTGACAGCAGTCCTGTGTCAACTGTGGCCGGGAGGCAATGAATGAGTGCACTGGCTGCCACAAAGTCAATTACTGCTCAACATTCTGTCAACGGAAGGTAATAAACTTCTACAATTATTCAGAGACAACCCATGTAGCTAGAGAAATTGAGCATGCATGCCTGATCTGCTGCTTTTGAGAAGTCAGCATGGGTCATGCTGAGGTCTATTTGGGCCATTTCACTTTACATGTATCTGTCTACTCCGCAGGAGTGTCTGCTCCCATAGGAGCTTGCCCAGTATCCATATCCAGGTTTCCTGGCCTGCTGGAGTTAGGTCGGAGTGACGGGGCAATCAGCTGTTGTAGAGAGTAATCCATTTATGAAATGCTCTCCCTAGTTTCTCCCCACTTCTTATTCCTTTGGCCCCAGGCAAAGACATTTTGTATAATTTACTGGACCTCTTAATTCAGTATTTTAACATGGTTGCATTGTGTCTTCTTGTTGTTTTGAGGTGAAGTTATTTTTGTTTTCTTTCTTTCTTAATTCTTGCCAATAGAAGGTGTAAATTGGATGTTAGTTCTCTATCCTTAAGAGAATTTACACATGTGGTGTAATATTGAGGGAGTTTCAAAGCAGAATCACTCTCGAATTGGCCTTCTCAGCCACACTAGACGCTGTTCCAAGACCTCCATACAGAGCACGTTACCATAGTCTCTCGAGACTGAAGGATGCCTACACAAAGCAGAATGTTGTTTGGTATCTGTAGTGTTTCCCCTGCCTTGTCATGTTGTTACAGTTACCTTTCATTCAGTAACTGCTTTCATACCATGTCCTTTTCCCTCTTTATTTCTAGGACTGGAAGGACCATCAGCATATTTGTGGCCAGGCAGCCTCAGTTACTGTCCAGGAAGAAGAGGTTCATGTCACAGACACTGTGATAGAGAAAGTAGTTGTCTGAACAATTTTACATCTTTGCTTTGTATAAATGCATGTATAGCAGACTGGCTGGACCAGCAATCCTGCTCTGATTTGTTTTATACAAAAAAGCACAAACTCATCAAGAAGATAACGTTGCTATTTGTATGTTGCTGGCCAACTTAAGACTTTTCTCTAATAATGCAGATGCTGAAAATGTGTGGACACATGAAAATCACAGCATCCCATTTCATATAAAAACATAACTTTGGAACATAATGTTCATGTTTACAAGGGTCTCTTTAAGAACCCTGCAAAACTGAGGAGTGTTTTAAACTGTTGCACTTCACACCTCCGGTGGATGATGATGGTTCTTTGAGAATACTTATACACGTTCTTCAAAGTGGGTTATGAGATCTACATTCTTTTGAGAGTCTTCTAAGGTGGTTTGAATAAAAATTGTGTCCACATTTTTCTGTCCCTTACTGACCTACCTCTCATTAAAAGCAAAACAACTATTGAAGAGCCCACCCCTTCAATGGGTTGTTTTAAGGGTATATCTAGACTTCGGTGGCATTTCTCATGTCAGTTTTTGTGTATTGGCTGGTGCTTCCTCCTGCAGGACATGATTGTCTAGTACATTATAGGAACCTTTCAATTCCATGATTCTATGATTGTATGTAATATTGGGAAGTATAATGTAATCATGAAATTTCTTGTAGAATTTATTAAGTACAAAACACATTTAGAGTAGTTTTTCTCCATATTATTGGACTACATCTCCCAGACTCAAAGTTGGAAAACCACCAGCCTAGAGCATTTGAATGCTATAGAAGAATATGATCTAAAATTGGAGACTAGACATCTCTCTCTCTCTCTCTCTCTCTCTCTCTCTCTCATGTGCACACAACATATACACACGTACCTACCTACCTCTTCTCTTGCTTATAAATCCTCTTATTTCCTCCTGAAGTGGAAGCAAGGCTGTTAATGGTAGCAGTTTGGGAGTTTCACCATAAGTCAGAAACAAACTGATAGCACATAACAGCAACATCAAAGAGGATTAAAACAAATAAAAAGGAACAAAAATATACAACACAGTTGAATTAAATAATGTATAAGCTCATTCTGTCATCAAACCAAATACGTTTCCTTTTGTAATCAACTCCTATTCAAAATAGCAAAGGGAGCCAAGACACTAGGCTTCTGCCTACTCCAGTGTTACTGAACCTCCAGCTTTCTTGAAAAGACTGAACTTTGATTGACCATCCCTCTTACTTTAAGCAATGTAACTTTATGCATAATTATATTGTGCCAGTTTCCTTTCCCATTGATTAACTGCAGGGATCCATTTATTGTCACGATTGAGATGACAGTACATGTGCAACAATCAGTGTGTGTGATATTATTCACAAGGACCTGCTGATGTTCATGTCAGATTTGTGTAACTTGCTATAGCTACCTGTAGCCAACTGATAAAGTTCTCGGTTGTGTCTTGGTTACAAGCTTGGTTATAAGCCCAGATGTGCTGTGGGACCTCAGCAACTAGCCACAATTAGCTATGCAAATCTTATGTGAACAGCAGTAGGATTCCAGACATTGTTTTATAAATTCTGAGTGTCTTAATTTGAGAGATTGCCTATTAATACATTGAGCAGATTTTGTTGTATCTCCTGGCCTATGGTTTTCTTCATGTTAATAAGAAATGCCATTTTACTAGAAGATAGTACCACCAAATATGGACAAATATATTGCTTCCATTTCTACTGAACTAACAGAGTTTAGAAACAGCTGGGAATATTTTAGATAATCTGGTGGGAATATTCCATCTGTACATAATCCTATAGATGTTCTGTGAATTAACATCTAATATAATATTGAGCTGTCCCCATACAAACACATTTCAAACTGCCTTCACAAACCTGTGTCCCAAATCGGTCTTCTGTTTGTTTAACTTCCAGAGAGTGAGTTATTGATGTCTCAAGATGGTTCAAATTATTTTAGGAAATTATTTTATATGCAACAAATTTCAATCGCTGCAGACATCCTTCCCCCAGATTATTTCTTGAAAGTACTGTAACTCCTGTAAGTGCTGGAAAAATAGAAGATAAAACATTGTATTACTTGGGGCCAGTTAAGCATATGATACAATATGAATAGATTTTCTTCCCCCAGTAAGCTTTCTTCTCTGTGCAGCTTTTATATATGCACACAATAATCAGGAATACTGTACTATAATATGGATGTTCCTAGCCTTGGTTTCCAGTTAAACATCTTTGCTCAAGAGGATTTTTTATAAAACTCTTTCACAGCTACCCTTCCAAGTCTCAGTCTTTTTCAGAAAGTATGGGTTCTTTTTGTCTGATGATTGATGCAAAGCACAGAAAATCTGTAACACTTTCAATTTCTTAATTGTCAACATTAAAGATACAGAAAGGTTTCCTTGAGGGAGTGATATTATGCATCCTAAAGCAGCATGTGTCTTCTCTTCATGCTTAATTGAACAATAGTACTTTCTTCCCTTTAATTCCCCTTTTCTGCTACTGTTTTTGCCTCCTGGATTCTCATTGTCATCTCCTTATTGCTCAGTTAATTTCTTCAAGTCAAGGGTCCAGAAATGTCTCAGGTCATCACAGCTCAATGGCAGAACTGGCCCCAATTCAGTTTAATGATGGGCAGAAGTGGCTCCAAAGTGGATCTGACTCAATATCAAAAATTATACTCTGCAGCCGCAGAACTGAGGAGAGTTTGTGAGCTTTGGGTAAATGGCATATCCAAGGCCTGGAGCCCTTGCTGTTACTTCTAGAGTTATTGTCTGCCAACTGTTTCAGTCACAGAAAGGGCCTGCAGATGGACATCCATTGCCTTTCAGCCACAGGTAAATATATTGTGCCCTTTGATAAGTAATTTGAACCAAGTCAGCGTGGTGTTGCTTGTGCCTTCTTACAACTTCCATTTCTGTATTTCCAAGCTTGGTTTCCCTTTCCTTGTCTAAATCAGATGAAAACAGTCTCCCAGCACCTCCTGCTAGAGCTCAGCATGCATCAGTAATCAAATCAGTAAAACATTTACTGTTTCACAGAGGTTTATCACTGACTTTTTTGCTGCCAAAAATAAGAGAGAAGGTGTCAGTGTGTTCTTCCTCAGCATCTCACCTGAGGAAAGAGGCCTTACACTTACTCTTAACATTATCAGTTTGAAAATATCACCTCTGGAGTTTTAAAATTGCGGGATGTAACATGAGCAGTGGGTCCATGTTCATTCCTATAAAAAGAAAAAAATGTCAAGAAGAGGCGAAAAAGAAACAGACAATAGATGAAGGGGGGGAAATATTGTTTTTCTCACTTGTGGCTTTGTCCAGAGATCCAGTTATTTACAAATCTATATTCTGCTTTCCTTCAGAAAATAAAGCAGCCGCAGAACTAGATCCTCTCCTCACAGTGGGACATGCTGGTGCAATCTTCACCCGGAGTTTAGAAAAGTTACTTACATTGAACTACAGCTCTTGTCTTTCCCTTTGCTGCCATGGACAGTTCTGAAGCTGCCTAGAATGTTCTGGGAGCTATAATCCAAAGTAAGGAACTTTTCTAAGCTGTGCCTTCAGTGAAATGCAAGATTGAGAAGCTCCTTGTGGATGTTTTGTAAATGCACTCTAAATATAGATTTCCAAGGGCCCTTTGGTGTAATTTCACTGAAATGGGGGGAGTGGAAGGCCATTTGTGATCATGGCAACTGACTTTCTCATCATCTTGCAAGCCCCTGCTGCAAAGGGTCAAGAACCTTTCAGTAACAAAACAATCCAGAAGAACGTCCTAGGTAATGGCCTAGAAAATTCATTTTCACTCAGGGGACTAGTGAAAAGTTGCATTTTTACCAATGAAAAGCATATACCTGCTAAGTAACCCTTTCCTCTGGAGATTAAGTGAAATAAGCAGGCAGGTAACAATCTTGTAAGTATAAACAGAAATTGCTTCCTTGCCACAATGGCACTTCCACTGACAGCAATTAAATCTTGCTGTAGTCAGTCTCCTTCTCATATTTTGAACAGCTACATATTTGCATGTACTGTAATTGATGCTCCATGTCCAGCATTGGAAATAGATATATCTCCATGAAGTAAAGGATATAACCAACAATTGTTTCATTATCACCTTGGTCATTTTATACTATGCTTTTATTGGGAAAAGCTGAAAGAATGCCATCACAAATCTGTGTTTCAGTGGGGTCTTAGGTAAGTAAAACAATCCTTGCTTTTGTGTCCCATGATAATACCTTGATTCAATTTATGTGAAGTGATCCCAGCATTGATTTGAGCAGCCAGTGCATCTCCTTGAGGAAAAATGGCAGGAATTGACAAATGCTCCTGGTATGTGTAGCTGGGCAAGTCTCTGTCATCCTGGCATGATCCCAGATACGTTGGCCCAAATTCCCCACCATCCCCAGCTATTAAGGACTATGCTTGCTGGAGATGATGGAAGTTGCATTCTGGAAAGCAGCAGGCTGGAGGAGGTTGTGCAAAAGCTGTTCCAGTTCTGTGGAGCTATGGACACTGGTGAAAAGGAGAGATGTATTGGCAACAGCTTGCAGCCAATGACTTCGTCTTGTGATACATTTTGGGCAAGAGATGCACATCAAAGCAGGTTGCATGGGTTATGACACTACAATGAAGAAGGTTATAAGAGTTCAGAAAATAATGCTGCTGTTTCCAGCTGAGCTCCATTCTGGTTACAATCAAATGTGTGCTGGTGGGGAGAAAGCAAGAACGAACAAAGTAGACATAAGTAACAAGAGTAGGATGTATGCCAAGGTATTTTCTTGCATACAGACTTACTTGCAACTTTGGGTGGAGATTGAATAGTTAAGTAAATCCTTCCAGGCAAAGCTTGGATTTTGAAGTTGGGTTTGGAGGAAGCTGGGAACTTTCTCTCAGTATCTTTGGGCTTCTCAGTTATCCGCTCCCCTCCGAGTGGAAAGGCCATCGGTGTTAACAACTGCAATCTAAGCCTCCCTGACCTTTATCTGATGAAGATGAGAGGTGACTCAACTCTCTATGGGCTACAAAAGGATGGAGTCCAGGAAAGAGGGGCTGCATCTTTTCAGACCCTTTCACATCCCTTCTGTCTGCTGCTTGACTTTGGCCTTTGCAGAGAAGTATTCAAATTCAGCAACAGGATTGGACCTTTTGCAGTGAGGAAACTAGGTCTCAAAGACTGGCTATTGACTGCTGTCACATTCAGGGAACTGGAGACACACTGGGCACAACAGGACAGCATTACATGGTACAGACCTGATAAGGACCTTATTTCAAGTTTAAGTGAAGCCAAAGTCTCTTAAATAACAAGGGTGTTTGCAAATCTTTAGGCTTCAGTCTCAAGTCTTTGGTACCAAAACCCAAGTCCCAAGCCCCAAGTCCAAGTCCAACAAGCTCTTTTCCCCAGAAAAAGGGGAAGGTGGGTGGGTTCCAAGATGTGAGTTGAGTCTGAGTCATGGGGGGGGGAACCCAAGTTGATTCACTGGATGCCACTTAAGTCCAACTTGACAAGTCCTGCAACTCAAGTCCTTATTCTTGTTAAATACTGTACCCACATTCTTTTACCAGCATCCTCAGTACTCCATGTGGCACCCATTGTCATGGTTTCTGCCGAGGAGGTACTCAAAATCATATGGAGACTGTCTTCCAATGCCTCCCGGAGTTGGGTCAAATTCATCTTGGTAGCTTCGGTGACACTGTCCAACCATCTCGTCCTCTGTCGTCCCCTTCTGTTCTTGCCCTCACACTTTCCAAACATCAGCGTCTTTTCCAGGGAGTCTTATCTTCTCATGAGATGGCCAAAGTACTGGAACCTCATCTTCAGGATCTTCCAGTGAGCACTCAAGTTGATTTCCTTCAGAACAGGTAGGTTTGATCTCCTTGCAATCCAGGGGACTTTCAAAAGTCTCCTCCAGCACCACAATTCAAAAGCATCAGTTCTTCAGTGGCCACCCTTCTTTATGGTCCAGCTCTCACTTCCATACATCACTAAGGGAAAATCATAGCTTTAACGATGCGGACTTTTGTTGGCAAGGTGATGTCTCTGCTTTTTAAGATGCTGTCAAGGTTTGTCATCGCTTTTCTCCCAAGAAGCAGGCGTCTTTTAATTTCGTGGCTTCTGTCTCCATCTGCAGTGATCATGGGGGCCAAGAAAGTAAAATCTGTCATTGCCTCCATATCTTCCCCTTCTATTTGCCAGGAGGTGATGGGGCCAGTGGCCATGATCTTAGTTTTTTTATGTTGAGCTTCAGACCATTTTTTGCA